CCCAACAAGATAAAGACATTAAACCATGCTAAACGACAGAAAGTACATACATTATAACGGACCATACGAAATGCTATTGGCAAGACTTGTAAGCAAATTGACAACAGTCTGGTCACGATTTCAAGCAAGTTCCAAGTGCCTGCCAGTCCGCCCACCGATAAACGCCAGAGGAAAGGCAGGTCCATTGAGAGAGAAGTGGACCCGAGATAACGACAGATTGCCAACAGGGAAGTCCAGACTCGAGACCACTCTACGATCGTAACGACGTACATTTAGTAGGCGGTGTGCACACGGAGCGAGTTGTAGGAGTCGAAAGTCGTTTTTCTGACCTTAAAAAGGGTATTTTTACACCCATATCGGCACAATTTAGATCATTTAGGGGGCGTGCTGCGTACCTTGCTTGTCAGGCTGAGAGGGATACCACAACATACCAGCAGAAAGACCGACGAGATGCTCGATAAAACAATTTCTCCCCGCTCTGGAATCGAACTCGGGTCTCCTGCGTGCGACAGCGAAGCCACTAACCACTGCACCACAGACGCTGATGCTTTGAGACGTCACTCGATTTCTACTACATCCAACTGAGCTCTTTGTGCGTGTGGTGAGATTTTCGACGCTAGAAGTTGTGGTGCCATCGTATATATGACTCACCTGGGTGTAACTGGGATTATTACAAAGGCTACGCACTTTGCCCTGTGTGTGTGTGTGTGTGTGTGTGTGTGTATGTTGGTTCGCAATGTGTCAGAATATTGCCTTTGGTCTGCTGTTGGTCGGATATATTAATATCACTTATGTGTCCGACATACCCCTAAAGAGTTAAACAACACGCAGCTAATCATGTGTCATTATCAGCCGAGGACTCAGTCAAAACCTCGACAAATTAGGCCTACGGCAAGTTTCCAAGAACCACCTCCTTGGATAAACATTTTTAGGCTAGTCTTTATATCAACTTTTGACACGTGACAGGCCTAATCACACAAGCGACTACGTACAAGCCCTCGTTTTGCAACCGCGATTGGCGAAGGGGAAAAATGATTATCGTCATTGTAGGCCATCACCGGCACATCCTACCCGCACACAGATGTGTGTGTGTGTGTGTGTGT